TCGAGCTGGCCAGATCGAACGAGTCCGCGGGACCCACCCACTGCCACCCGCCCTCCCATAACAAAATGCAGTAACCCATGCCGGCGCAACTGGATGTTGGGACCAGCGCGCGCCCCCGCCCAGCGCACGGAGGGCCCTCGCGGGCGCGCAGACCTGCTTCTGACGACGTAACCATGGGCCGCGCAGTTTTGAGTAGCAGCGTCGAGGCTCCAGACTCTGGATGGGGCAAGAATCGCCCCCCCTGGATCCGCTGAGGGGGTTGGGCACGTGCTGTCGGAATGGGTGGAGGGGGGGTGGAGGAAGAGGAGGAGGATGAGGAGGAGGGGGACGACGGAGAGGGGCGGGATTGGGCAAGCTCAGTCGGAAGGCGAATCCTCCCGGCCCCCTCCCTTGATGACTATACCCCGCCCAGAGAGAGCTCCGCGTGAAAGGCAGCCGAAACACGCCACGGGGCCCGGCTGGGCACAACAGGGGGAGGCATGTGCCAGAGCGCGCGGAGAGGGGGGAGAGGAGCACGCTCTCGGAGCACGAAGGCTCGTGAGCGTGCGTGCCGGGAGGGCGGCGGTGCGCGGACGTGTGTGGCCAGAGGTATTCACGCGCTTGCCGATGCGGGGCAAGCTTCCTCCCTGCAGCACACCGGCATCCTGTCGGTCATCGGCGGCAAGTTTATGGTTCGCCTGGCTGCCGCGCCTCAGGCTGCGGATCCCCATGTTCGTGGATTGGACTACCACGGCTGGACCTCCTGGCATCACTTTGGTGGCACAACGTTGCACTCCGGCTCAGTGGTGCTCCTCTTCCTCTCGGACGTCGACCTGGTGACGTGGCACGTCCTCTCCCGCAATTTGTAAGGCTGGTGTTCTTGAAGCGCCGCTGACGGCACCACCACCGGCTTTCTTCCTCCCGGGACTTCACCACCGGGCTCCTGTCCAAGGTGTACCTTTTCCTGCACATCCACTTCGGCACCGCCTGATCCCATGGCTTCGCCCTCCTCCAGCCGCGTGAGGCCCCGCCTTCTTCCGCCCTGTCTCTGCTAATAAAGCTGTGCGCGTCCCGCTTAGCTTTCAGCGGAAGAGGTTCGCTGTCGCCCCACAGATCAAAAAATGTGTGGCCAGAGGCGCGGACGTCCGGGGCAGAGCCATGGACCGCGCACAGACGAGGCAGAACTCTCTGAGCATCGTTTGACCGATCCCCACTCCCACCAGCGTGGGCCGGGCCCCACTGGCCGATTTGCCCCCCTGGATGGGGATAGAGGCTGCCCTCTTCGGGTATAAGGAGGGGCATATCCCCAGCTGAGGTGGTGAGACGGTGGGGCTCGAGATGTGGATGGGGATGGGGATGGGAATCGGTTAAACGATACTGACTCTCTGGGGAAGCAGAAAGGTACCAATACCGCTACTCCCTGGACCTCTCCCGGGGCCCGAGGTGCGTTCTGACCAGCATTTCGAGGCGAATCCAGCGGTGGCGACGAGGGCCTCCCAGGAGGCCGAAGAAGGTCAAAGCGGCCGAAGGATAGCGGTATGGGTACCTTGTCCTCCTCTGGCTCTCGGGCAATCCGCGCGTGGTGCTGGGGCAACAGCACCGCTGAGCTCTGCCGCGGTGCAGACGAGCTTCCGACAGGACCGGCCGAGGGTACGGCATAAGCGCCGCGCCCGAGCGGAGGGCGCGTCTCCCAGAAGCGAATGCGACGAGGGGCGTGTCGCTCTCCTGGCCGCGGCCCCACTTCCGACGACGGGGCGACAAGAGGGTGACATCTGCGCGGCGCTTGGGCGAGAGCAGCAGATCGCCCGCCCGCGCGCGTCGCCGCTTCCGACGACGTGGCGCTCGACGGTGTGCGCCGCGCCGAAGGGGGCAGCGCAAATATTCAGAAAACTCGTGCGCGGCGCTTGGGCAGAGGCGATGTTCCGCTGCCTCGCGCGTGGAGTGCGCCACGTCCCGTTCCTGCCGCGCACCCTGCATCGTCGACGACAGAACATCCAGAAAGGCAAACGTCGACTTTGCATTGTTTTTGATTGATAGGATGGCGCCATTCGCGTTTGGCACCTGCCGGACAGCTGGAGGTATATACCAGCGGAGAAGGAGAGAGAAAGAGAGAGAGAGAGAGAGACAACAACAACAAAGAAAGACAGAGAGAGGGAGAGAGAAAAAAAAAGAGAGAACAAAACAGACCATTTGAGGAGAAAAAGCCTGAGGATGCAGGACCTGAAAGGAGGAGACTGCGTCATTAGTACTGGAACGAAACAGCAGGGAAGGATAGGGGGGAGGAGGGAGGGTGAGGAATGACAATGGGAAGAGGAGGGTAGATACTCCTTTCTGGCCCCCTGGACGATCAACGAGAAAAACGTGGTGGGCTCGCAGCCTCCCAACCAGCTCGCTGAAGGCACGACGCGCTAGACAAGGGGCTGGCGAGGCCTCAGGGACGAGAGGTCGACATCGACCTCCTCCTTCTCATCGCCAATCCTCTCCGTCCTATTCCTCCTCCTGCTCTTGCTCATTTCGTCATCATCATCACCATCATCACCATCATTATCATCAGCATCAGCATCATCGATCATCATCATCATCATCATCATCATCATCATCATCATCATCATCATCATCATCATCATCATCATCATCATCATCATCATCATCAGCATCAGCATCATCGACATCATCATCATCATCATCATCATCATCATCATCATCATCATCATCATCATCAGCAGCAGCAGCAGCAGCAGCATCATCATCATCATCACCATCAAACGCACCTGGGCTCAGACCGCATCCCAGCAGCGCAACAGGGAGCGCTCGTCCGACCTTCCCTCACGGGCGCGCAATCCCCCCTCGAGGCGCCCAGCGGAGTGCAGCCGTCTCGAGGGCCCGAGGCGCATGGCTGGAGCATGCGAGCCCTGGGGCTCCCTCAAGCTCTTCTTGTACAGCCCGCTGTCGCTGATCTCCGCGGGCCGCTGCCGCGAGGTGCGCAGGAGCTCGGCGCCGACGCCGCTTTGCTCCCAGGCTCTCGCATCAGGAGCTGGGGCGCGTTTTTTGTATCCGGCGTTTCGACATTGGGCGGAAGGGGGGGGGGAGGGGGGGGGTCTGGCTCTGGACCTCTGCTTAGTGCGACTGTTCGCAGCAGTGCGTCCTACGGGGGAGGCTCCACCTGCTTGAAACAGGCGCCAAAAACAGCCAAGATCATCTACTCCAGGGCCGGGAAAGGGTGGGGGGTGCGAGGGCCCACGCCGATCGGCAAACCAATACATATAAAAACGATCACCTGTGCAGGTCGCCAGTATCAGGTGGGGAAGCTTGGCGGCGGGTACCCTGCTGTTCACTTCGGGTGGTCCGCGGGACGGTCCTACTCGGACACGGCGATTTCGGCTCGAAGACGTGGTGGACATCTCCAGGCCCCCGGAAGCTCTTCGGGGCAGAGCTGACGCGGTGCGCGTGAAGAGCGGCAAATTCGAGGCGACGCTGATCGACGGATATCCACCGCCAACAGGGGCCACGGGAAAAAGGATGGCTGCGCATGAGGCGGCGGTGAAGGCGCCTCGCCGGTGGATCGGCTCCATCGTTGAGGGCACGCGTTCTCGATCGCTTCTGGCGGAGGGCTTGGATGTGAGCAGCGGCTGCGGCGAGCGCAGCGACGGCGCTCCTGTGGCTGAGGAGCACGGAGGAGAGCACCATAGCGCGCGGCAGAACCTCTCAGAAGATTTGGCGGAGCAGCTGTGCTGCATGAGATCGCTTTGCTCACCTAGTAATTGGTATCTCGAGGGTGGCCCCCAATTTCTTCGGTACCAATGGGATGGGATCTACGATCGACCACCGGTTTATCTCAGAGGCCGCGATGGGGAACGTCCTCGAGTGTAAGGTGAGCTACTACCACGGATGACGGCTTCAACTTATTCCTGATAGAAGGCAACGAGATCACTTACCTCCTCTTTGTGCTGGACTCTATATACTGGAGATGCAAGATGGTAGCTCACACACTGCCGATAAACCGCTACTCACTTGGGATCTCCAGATGCTGTTAGAGGCGCTGCAGACGGGCAAAGGTCGCGAAACTTTCCTGATAGTGTTGGAAGAGACTATCAGACAGCATGAGAACGAGTTCCCGTCCTTGCGCGAAGAACGACGGGCCGATGAGCATTGGAGTCTGGTCATGCAGCTTATTCAAGATATCGGGCATATTCATTCCAAAAATAACACCCACCTGGAAGACAGAACACAGAAGAGGCACATGTGCAAGTTGAGAGGCATCGGTTGGTTGCCTTACGCGCTGAGGAGCGAGGGCGTGTGAACTGGGCTCGTGAGCGTCGGAGTGTACCGGCGACGACGAGCAGCTGGAACCCATCAAGCGGCTTACGAAGCAGCTTCGGCAGTGGGCAAGACGACGACGAGCTGAGAGACGTGCTTCGCTGGAGACGGACCTTGAGGAGGCAGAGAAGTTGGGGCACACCTTCGAGCAGCATCGCAATGCTCATCTTCTGGCCGAGCGAGCCCAAGGTACTCGACGTCGACAGTACCTTACGACACCAGAGTCTCGCCCGTCTGCGAAGACGGTAGTGGCTCACATGGCGAAGCCGAGCGCGGAGGGGGGGGCATGCCTGCATTTCGAATGGATCGTGCTGAGCTTCAACGACGACGAGGAACTATTACCGCCGCTCCTGGAGAAAGGAGCGCATACCTAGATGAATTGGCTGAACGAGATCTACGTCGTACGATCTTGTCTATGCGAAAAAAAGTGGGAAGCGTAGAGGATCGGTGCAGTGGAGCGCTCCTGTTGAGCTGCTTCTATGTTGTCTCGAACCTGGACATTGCACGACTGCGAGGCGTCCACCACGCGAACTCGGACAACCTACGATCGAGGAGGTGGCGCAGTCATGCCGCAGTTGTCGGGAGGAGGTGCTGAAAGTTCTACTCCACACGCGTCGAGTGGATCAAGCACCTGCTGCGGCGCACTGGTCCTTTGGCTTCTCCTTGGACAAACATAATAGCCTACGGGGTCTGGACGGCAAGAGGCTCATCCACCTGGTCTGCACGTTCTGGAGATTATTCTTCGGGGGCCTCCTGAAGAAGCCGAGCTGCCGTGAGTTCGAGATGAACGTCGACCCGACGTGTCACGGCTACTTGGCTCACAGGAGGCGGGAGGACGCTATGCTGGTCATGCGCTGCGTCGACTACGCGCTGAGGCAGCTGGGGCTTCGAAGAGTGTCGGAGCTGCTCGACATATCCAATGCGTTCGCCTGCACCCCGATGGAGTGGCTTGACGAGGCGTGGAGGAGATGACTGACGCTGCAGATTGGGCACTGCTGCATGATCGAATACATCATCACATCGTGGAGGTTGAGGCGCGCGGCGAGGTGTTGCAGTTTGCCCTCGGTCGAGGCGGTCTCATGGGCACCTGCGAGGCCCGAAAAGGAGTTTGCGGTGGCTTTCAGAGGACCTGTGCAACGATGGCGAGATGAATGTTCTGCACAGGACGACTTGCTCAAGTTTAAGACCCCCGTCCTGGAGTTGCCTGTCTCGTGCGCGGTGGTTCAGTTCGCCGACGACTTGATGACAGAGCACGTGATACTCACTTTCCTGACGTCGGATGCTCAGGCGACCATCAAAAAGAGCCAGACCATCTTGATCAACGAGCTCGAGAAAGGGGGCTTCAAGCAGAACATGAAGAAGCGCGAGTTGGTCACCGAGCTCAAGCCGACCGAGAACCTCAAGTTTAAAGCTCAGTTGGCGAATGGTTCGATCCGTATTACACCACATGCTCGGCATCTTGGTGGGCGGTACGTGTGGAACGACAATGCGAATGTTGAGGTCGGCTATCGCATCGACGCGCTGAAGAAGGGCTGGCTTGATCTGGGCAGGTTCTGGCTCGCGAAGGGCCCTCACAAGTTGCGACGACAGCTCTGTCTTGGCCAAGTGGTGGGGGCTGCTCTCTCGGGCATGCGCAGTTAGTTTCTCTCGGGGTCGGAGCTTCAACGCTTGGACGTGCAGATCTGCAAAACGTTGAGGGTCCTCGAAGGCGGGGCGCAGGTGGCACACGACACGCACGTGAAGGTTCTCAGTAACAAGGAGCTGGTGAAACGTTGGGGAGTGGTCCCTGCACGAGCGGCTCTGGCGATGCAACGCGTGCGTTGGCTACAAGACCTGGTACGACATCCTCTCGCTCATCAGCAGGTGATTACTGCGCTGCGGGGCCATCTGGAGGACGCCCCGCCTCCCATCGACGTGGAAGGGAAACTGACGGTGTACACGAGCCCGTTCGCCAGGCAATTCACGCGAGTCCTTCTGTTGCTGGAGGGCATCAGCGGCACCGGGGAGTCTGTTCGAGGAGTGGGCGATCGTCGGTCGCGCGTGGCAGGAGCTGTGGAGCTGCGCGAAGCTTTTTTACCTAACAGCGTTTGCTGATAGGTTTCTAGTAGGGTCAAAAGAGAGCATCATGACTCCTCAGGGGGGTCTGGGCGGGTGCCGGGGAGGAGAGCCGGGAATCGTTTTTCGCCAACAGTCACACACTTCGTGCTCTTCGACCTCCCAGAACTCCATTCCTGGGACACATTCTGGAGAACCGGGAACAGAGCCGGGCTCGCTTTTCGCCGACAGTCACACACTTCGTGCTCTTCGCCCTCCCAGAACTCCATTCCCGGGCCACATTTTGGATGCCCGGAGCCAACTGTAGGCCACTTCGTGCTCTTCGACTTCCCAGAACTCCATTCCCGGGCCACATTTTGGATGCCCGGAGCCAACTGTAGGCCACTTCGTGCTCTTCGAGTTCCCAGAACTCCATTCCCGGGCCACATTTTGAATGCCCGGAGCCAACTGTAGGCCACTTCGTGTTCTTCTATTTCCCAGAACTCATTCCTGGGCCACATTTTGAATGCTGAGGCAGGCTGATGCTGCGGCCGAGGCAGGCTGAGGCTGAGGCGAGGCTGAGGCTGAGGCTGAGGCTGAGGCTGAGGCTGAGGCTGAGGCAGGCTGAGGCTGAGGCTGAGGCTGAGCTGAGGCAGGCTGAGGCTGAGGCTGAGGCTGATGCAGGCTGAGGCTGAGGCAGGCTGAGGCTGAGGCCGAGGCTGAAGGCAGACTGAGGCTGAGGCTGAAGCAGGCTGAGGCTGAGGCTGAGGCAGGCTGAGGCTGAGGCAGGCTGAGGCTGAGGCTGAGGCAGGCTGAGGCTGAGGCTGTGACTGCGACTGCCGTTGCCGCTGCGACTGTCATCGCGAATGCGACTACGACTGCGAGAACAGCAGAATTCTACAACTGGATTTTCATCTGAATCTTAAGGGGAATGCTTTCATATATGCTTCTACACATCGCTGTTAGGTTGCTTTGCCGGGATAATTGAAGTTGGACGCGAAGATACTCGAGGTGTCGGTGATGAGGGAGGATCGGCTTTGGAAGAAGCTGGCGCCCAAGGCTCGCGAGTCGGAGGAGGCCCAGGGTGAGTACGTGTGACTTGCTAGACTTGCAAGGAGACGTTTGCGGCCTGCGCTTTGACTCGCTGAAGGAGCTGGTGACGCATATGACGAAGGCCCGCGGTGGGGGTTATGGCGTCCTGTGCCCGCTTAGGTGCTGCGTGCTCGCGAGTCAATGTGTGAACTGTGGGAGCGCGTTCGCCTCAAAAGACAATGCGAAACAACATGTTCAAGCATCGTGGAGTCTTGGGCGCTGCCAGCCTCAGGGGGGCCATCAAGCATGGGAGTTGAACGTCCTGTCTGAGACTGTCTGTAAACTGTGAGGGCTAGAGTTGGCTAGCCTACCCCAATACTACACACACGTTCGCGAAGAACACTTGCCTCGCCCTGCTCCGCGCATTGTGGAGCGCTATGCTGGCCACCCTGAAGGGGAGGCAGGCCGCCGCGTCAAGCCCGCACCGAAGACGAGGGGGGCAGTAAGGACAAGCGGCTCAAGGGCGTCAGCGACAAAGGGCTTCGTCGGTTTCTGCTCCAAATGGTCAAGCAGCTCCTGAGGTGCGCGCAGGGGATGCGCGAGCTCGGCGGGTGCCTATGCGACGCTTTTCTCTGCCCTGCCGACGGCCTGGAGGCGACGCAGATCTCGGAACAGACTTACAACTACTCGACGGCGGTGAAGAAGGACGGGAAAGGACACGCCCACGGAGCGCCGTACATCTGGGCGTTCGCGGGACTGATCGAGGCGATGAAGGAGGAGGGCAGCGAGGTGAGAGGCACGAACGCGAAGCACATCGTGGAGATATGGGAGTGGCTCGACTCACACACCGTGGAGGACAAGATGGAGAGATGATCAGAATGTGCCGTCTGGACAATGCGTGCGACAAAGAAAAGATAATCACCTTCGTGATGCGCGAGGAGCGGTAGCGCCAGGTGGTGATCCATAGCTGCGTTCAGGTGGGGATGAGCCGCAAGCAGGGCAAGGCTCCAGCATCGTTCATGGAGCGCGAGCTGCGGGAGCACGTGGGCCAGCTGCTGCAGTGAAACCCGAGCGAGCACGTGAGCCAGCTGCAGCAGTACCCGAGCGAGTGCGTGAGCCAGCTGCTGCAGTACCCGAGCTGGCACGTCAACCTGCAGCTGCAAGCGCTTCTGCTGCAACTCTGCCTGTCGGCAGCCCCGCCGTGAAGCGGAGTGTTCCGCCTGAGAGCAGTAACCTCTCCTCTTCCCCCGCTCGGACCTCGGGGGCCCCTGGGACTCCCCCTGGCCAACGTCGAGACGCGTCTCGCCGTGGCTCCGTGGACCCCTCCTCGTCCTCCTCCTCGAATGCGACGGGGTCCCAAGGTACGTCGGCGCAACCCGCAAATGCCGCGGTGGCCCCCGAGGGACCCTCCACTCCTAGTGCTCGTTCGGCGTCTCTTGGGACCGAGCGAGGACGCACCTGCTGGAACACTCGTATTAAAAGTGACAGGTCGCGCTCCATGTTAAAACGCACGAGGCATTAAATTCGTTTTTACAGTCGGCCGTAACTCTCGAGTCGGTAGGCGGGACCAGCCGCGGGGCCAGTCGGCCATCGATTCGCCCCCCTCGCCCGACGTCTTCGCTGGTCGTCTCGGTCGAAGTCACCACACGCCGCCTCTCGTTTACGAGTCAGTGTACACCAGAGTGTCTGAATCACGATTCCTCGGCACAAGGTTCGCAGGAGCTCCCAACAGCCACCACAAAGAAAAGATCTATATATATGTGTATATTCCAACGGCGCTGAATGAATGAACAAAAACATCATCATCATCATCATCATCATCATCATCATCATCATCATCATCATCATCATCATCATCAGCATCATCATCATCATCATCATCATCATCATCATCATCATCATCATCACCATCATCATCATCATCATCATCATCATCATCATCATCAGCATCAGCATCAGCATCAGCATCATCATCAACATCAGCATCACCTGCATCAGCATTATCATCATCATCACCATCATCAGCAGCATCATCATCATCATCAACATCATCATCATCATCAGCATCATCATCATCAGCATCATCATCATCAACATCATCATCATCAACATCATCATCATCATCACCATAATCATCATCATCATCATCAGCATCATCAGCGGCAGCATCAGCATCAGCATCAATATCAGCACTATCATCAGCAGCATCATCAGCATCATCAGCAGCAGGATCATCATCATCAGCATCAACATAACCACCACCATAACCAACATCATCATCACCACTAACACCATCATCATCATGATCATCATCATCGTCATTATCACCACTACCATCATCATCAGCATCATCATCACGGTCTTCGTCGTCGAAACCACCATCATCATCGTCATTGTCGCCGCCATCAACATGATCATCCGAAATCACCATCGCTGTCGTCGTCATCATCATCATCCTCATCATCATCATCGTCGTCGCCGTCGTCATCGTCATCATCAGCAGCAACATCGTACTCTTCTTGGCCACTTTCATATTATCCTTCCGCGTCCTTGTCCTTCCATCCCCCGCCTCTCCCCTCCCCCTGCCCTCCCCCCCTCCTCTTGCTCATCCTTCCCTGCCATTCCCCATGGTCGTCCCCCTGAGCCTTCATCCGCCTCTGGCTCCTCCCCCTCTCATTCTCCCCATCCTCATCCCTATCCTCATCCTCACCCTTCTCCTCGCCCTGCTCCTCATCTCATCCCCATCCTCATCCCCATCTCATCCTCATCCTCGTCACCCTCTTCTTCCTCTGCCTCCTCCTCCTCGCCCTCGCCCTCCTCCTCCTCCTCCTCCTCCTCCTCCTCCTCATCCTCGTTCTCCTCCCCATCAGTACCGCCTCCAGCATCCTCCGGCGCCCGCGCGAGAGGGCGAAGGCCCCGAGCGCTCCCTTCGGCGCCGCCGACCCCTCCTCCGCAGACGGAGGCGAGCGGCGTTTCCAGCCACGGGCTCGGCCTGCCGGGCCCCGCGCGCCCGATTCCTGCACCGCTGTGGGCAGTGTGCTTCGGCTGGACGATGCTGTGCCCCAGTCCTCCCTAACCCCCATCAGCCCCCTCGCTCTCCCCATCGCCCTGCCCACCTCCACCTCCTCCACCTCCTCCTCCTTCTCCACCTCTTCCTCCACCTCGTCCTCCTCCTCCTCCTCCTCCTCTTCCTCCTCCTCCTCCTCCTCCTCCTCTTCCTCCTCCTCATCCTCCACCTCATGCTTATGATCCTCCTCCCCCCATCCGTCAGCCGCCGGATCCTTATTCTTATCATCCTCCTCTGCGCCCCATTTCATCCTCCTGCTCATCCTCCTCCTCCTCCTGTTTTTCCTCCTCCTCCTCCTGCAGTCCGAAAGGCAAGTCTGTCGATTCCCGCACTCGGCCCATTCTGAATTTGGCCGAAAGCACAACAAAAAAGTAAGTAGGACTCGAAGGCGACGGTGGCGTCCAGCACGAACATGCCCCGAAGCTGCCAGCCGCCTATTTGGCCAGCTCCGCCGCCAGCCAGCCTGCGGCCACCGCGGCGGCGTCCCCGCCGACGGCGGCGCGCAGCTGCCGCGCGGTCGCCTGCGGAACACGACGCCCAGCTGGGCGCCCCAATCGCCGAGCAATCGCGCCGGCGGCCGCATCTGCGGCAGGGCCGTCCCCGAGCGCCTGCGCCTTGTCGCACGCTAGCCAGAGGAGGTGCCAGAATGCCTGCTGGCCGCGGCGGCCGCCCGTCTCCAGCGCCAGAGGCAACAACGGCCAGGGCGCCTGGCGCGCCGCGCACAATAACCGCTTGCCGCCTCGGAATCGGCGTTGACGGCGCCGTCGCCGTCCGCAGCCGCCGCCAGGGCGCGTGCCTGTCCGGGGGCGCTGTGACGTCCGCGTTCAGCCTGGGGGCATCCCCCCGCTCCACTTGGAGTGCCCCCCCGCGGGCGCCGCAAAGCCCGGGCGGAGGCGCGTCGGCCGATCCGCGGGCCGCGCAGGCCGGGGCGGCGCAACGCCAGCGCCACCTGTCCCACGCAGGAACAGAAACCTGTCGGGCCGTGCGGAAGCCGCATTGTTGGTAGATGGCTCCCACACGTCCTCGAACTTCCTGCTCCACGCCTTGAGGCCGCCTCCGCAAGAGCTGTGATAGGCGTGGCGCGCCTTGCAGCAGAACGCCGTTGCTGCAGCGACCCCCGGCCGGTGCCGTGTCCTGGCCCAGGAGCGCGCGCGCGGTGGCGCAGTAGTCGGGGTCCTCCAGCTTCTGGCGCGGCCCGCCGTCGGCCAGTTGCCAGCCTGCCGCGTGGGCCCCCCGCAGGAGCGCAGGCGCGCTCGTCCTTCAGTTTCGAAGGCAAGGCTCGGATTTTCTTTCTGTCGAACATCTGCATGTGCGTGAGCATTTTATAGAGTTTCTGGCGAAGTCCTGCGCGAGCAATCCTCAGGGCGGCAGCAGTCGGCGTCTCTCCCCCCCGTCGGGCAGCAAAGCGGCCAGCGCCGCCCGGCCAGCGGCTGCTAAGGGTCGGCCACCAGCTCCGCCAAGCCAGTCCGCGCCCGGGCCCCGGCCAGGCCCTGCGCCCGGGAAGCCGCCCGGGCAGCGGGCGCCAGCGCGACCACCTGGCTTCGGAGGCCCAGGGCGCCCACTCTCAGCCGACGGCGGCACTGCGCCCGCTGTTCGGCCTGCGCGGGGTCCGGGCGTGCGAGCTCCTGGGGGGCTTCGAGCACGGCTGCTCGGTGATCTGCCGCAGCTGCCCGGGAGTCGGCCGGCGGGCTGGAGCAGAGCTGGTGCGTCGGCTTGCCCACGCCGCGGAGCCGCAGGGGGAGCGCCGCCGCAGGTGGGCAAGCCAAAAGGCACCGATACCGCTATACTCCCCAAACCTCTCCGAGGGTGCATTCTGGCCAGAATTTGGAAGCGGATCCAGTGGTGACGACGAGGGCCTCCGAGGATGCCCAAAAAGGGGAGCACGAGGAAGGGCAGAGATAGGGGTACCTTTGCCTCCTCTGCGCCAGGGCCGCCAGGAGGTGGAGCCAGGCCAACGCAGGCAGCGGGGCGAGCTTCCGGCGCAGCGACGCCGCTCTCTCTCTCTCTCTCTCCGCAGCTGCAGCGCAGCAGGCCGCCGCGCAGCCGGGGGCGGCCCAGGTCCAGTCGAGGGGCCCTCGGGGGCGACGATGAGGGCGAATAGCCAAGTGGAGATCAATACTTGTATCCAGGGGCGGCGATGGCCTTCGGCGAAGCTCCCCAGCGAATACGAGCATTGCTCCCCCAAGGGCTATTCGCCCCTGTCGTCGCCTCCGATCCCCGCCGCTCTCGGCTGGCATGGCATGCCCAGCGGCAGCGGCCCCCCCAGCGGCACGCCCAGCAGCGCGAGGCCGTCACGGCGCCCACGCGTCTCGAGCCCCGGCGGCAGGGCGCCCACACAGACGACACAGAGGAGGAAGAGGTACCCATACCGCTGTACCATTCAATCGTGGTCCCCATTTTTCGGCCTCTTGGGATGCCCTCGTCGCCACCCCGCCGGATTCGCTTCGAAGTCCTGGTCATAACGCGCCCTGGGAGAGGACTGGGGAGTATGGCGGTATCGGTACCATTTGGTGCCCCCAACGACGCCTGTGTCCTCTATGGCTGCATCTCAAGACAAAGAGCGCCGAGCGCTGCCTGTGCCGCAGTCCCGACCGCGCCGGCGAGCTCCGCGGGCGTCAGGACGATGACATCGTCGAGGCAGGCCAGGGCGTGGACGTTCTCCTCCCCCTACCTCCTCCCGATCCGCCTTCCCTCCCGTGCATGCATCCACGTCTCTACCCGATCCTCCTGCCAAGTTATCTTCGTCGTCGTCGTCCTCCTCCTCCTCCTCCTCCTCCTCCTCCATAACACCCTCTTCCCCCTATTCCTTGTGACCTCCGGGTTTCTTTCCGGTCCCCATCCCTCCCCCCTCACCGTCTAGGGGGCCACATGCGAACCCTACCCCTACCCCCCACGATTTCTGAGGGGGATGGTGGGGTTCCCTTCGTTCGGGAGCTCCCGAGCGAAGTGAACCCAACCCTCGCCCTCAGAAATCGTGGGGGTAGGGGTAGGGTTCGCATGTGGCCCCCTACCCATCCCTCCCCCCTCACCGCCTTCCTCCTCCGAGGAGCTCTGGAGCTCTGGCCGTCGCTGTCTTTCCTGGGCGCGCGGGGCCAGGAGCGGGCCCCCTGAGGCCCCAAACTCGGGAAGCGGGTCGCCCCGCCATCGTCGGGACCTGGCAGTGCGCGAAGGGTGGGGGGCCCTCCAAGAAGGCACGGGGCCTCTTCAGCAGGATCGGAGGCTTCTTGGAAGGCCTCTCCGAAGGGAGGAGACCTTCGGAGTCCAAGAGACCTCCTGCCTTCTTCGAAGGCCACCCCCCTCGCCCTGCCCCGGCCAGCATCCGCTCGAGATGTAACCTCGGGTTCATCCTGCCTCGTTATTCGAGACGCGTGCGTCCATACGTGGCGATGAGGGGGGCCTCTGGAGGCCAAGGAGGAAGAAAACGATGAGGAGGCTTCGCGCCAGCGAAAGGCGCACGAGGTCTGGGCATCCCTTCTGTGGTCTCTTTCCGGCTGCGCCACGATTTCGGGAATCTGCTGGCCGGGGCCAATGCAAACCTTGGTCAGTCAGGCTTTGCATTATCCTGCGCCCCAGCCCGGGTCAGTGCGGCCCTGGCCCTGAAGGATCCTGCAAGGTCCGGCGCCCTGGCTGACCCAGGCGTGCCTCGACCCCCGTCCCTGGAGCACCGACGACTCCCGCCGCGGACTGTGCCCCGGCGGCCGCCGCCGCTAGGCGTCGCCGCTCATGAGCGAGCCGCGCACCGGCGGCGCCAGGGCCTGAGGGGAGGAGGCGCAGCCCGCTGGAGCGCCAGGACGGCTGGCGCTGGCAGCGTTGACGAAAACGATGTCGACGACGAGAACGACGACGTCGACGACGTCGACGACGAGGGCATCCACAACGACGACAACGACGACGACGGCAGTCGACCGCCGACGAGCACCAACACCACAATCACCATGACCACGACGCCAACAACGCCCACAACGACGACGACGCCCACGAGGACGTCCACGCCCAAGACGACGTCCACACCCAAGACGACGACGACGACGACGACGACGACGACGACGACGACGACGACGACGACGACGGCCACAACGACGACGACCGCGAAGGCCATGACGACGACCAAGACCATCATGAAGAGGAAGAGGTAGACGAGAACGGGGGAAAATATATTATCCGTGTGCGCGCAGGGGCAAGTCACCACACACGCACACATAATAAAAGAAACAACTGCGTAAACTTAAACTTTCTGAGTTTCGGGTGGATATCTTGGATCGGCGCTGAACTCCCCTCGCTGGCGCGCGGAGTGCGCCAGGGGCGGCGCCCGAAGCGCCGCCAGGGGAGTCCCAGCGCCGATCTACGAAATCCCGAAGACCTCCGAAAGTTTATGTATCAAACACACACATACACACGCACACACACACACACACACACACACACACACACACACGCACACGCACACGCACACGCACACACGCACACGCACACGCACGCACACGCACGCACGCACACACACACATACCCCCCCACGCACACACACACACACACACACACACAACACACACACACACATACCCACACACACACACACACGCGCAACCTAAGACCGCGTTGAGGTCAAGGGCCAGGCCAAGACGTGTCCAATGTGCCACGCCACTTCGCCTGGCTGGCGGACGGCTGGGATCCCCCTTCTCAAGGGGCCCAGGGAGGCACAAACAAATAGGCACAAAGTCCAGGATTCACTGTATCTTTCTACATGTTCTGGATGTTCGTCTTCCCATCTTCTCTGCCAATGGTTTCCCAGATGTTCCCGGGAATCAGCGGTTATTTGTGTCTGTTATGTTTTGCCCTCTTGGCCCTCACCCGAACCTCGGCAAGAGGATCGGGAGGAGGAGCAGGAGGAGGCGAGGGAGCAAGCAACGGCACCAGCGGCCTCTTAGCGACAAGACCGGCGAGAGGGCCTGGGGAGCCAAGCATGCTGGCCGCCACAGCTTGAGGCCCGCTCTTGGATGCACACTCATGACCTGGCCAGGCTGAGGGGCGCTGGCTCAGGGTACCGGGAACCCCGCAGCACACCTGGCAACGTGTGACCTCGGAAAGCGTCCAAGCTGCCTGTCGAACTCGAGGCCGCCGACCGTCACAGACAGCCGAAACGGCATGCGCCGTTTCACCAGCCACAAGGTCGCGCATGCCAGCGCGCAGTGGAAAGAAGAGGCTCTCGCGCAAACTCATCCGTTTCCACATGCTTCGCGACACGCTACCAGCATCAGGCCTCGACGATCTGATCGAGGGCGCGACCGACTGTACGAGGGTAGAGCGTGGCCATCGAAAAATGACCGACCGCTGGATTAAAACAGTGTCGAGGCCGCCCAGGGCGATGGCAAACCTCAACGCCGTGGCTCCAACTGGAGGGTTCCGAATGAGGTCCGAGCAGAGGGGGTTGACCCAGTCTCCTGCGGTCTAATCACCTCTCCAATCTCCTTGCCTCCGACGCCGTGTTTGACTCACGACGTGGGCCCACAACGCTCTCGGCCCTGCCCCGGGACCACATTGTCACATTCTGGTTGCGGATCGTGTCCTGCCGGCCCCCGGGGCCTGAAACCGGCGCCCAGAGCCCGGAACGGCGGCAGAACGCAAGTCGTGCTTGGGGACGCAGGGGGGGGGAAGGCCCAAAACCTCCTCTGCGCCAATCCCCTCTGACACCTGGGAAACCTGGCGGGTTCAAAAAGCCTGGAACCTAAAAGCCTTGCCTAGAGGAAGAAAAAGCTGCAGAAACTTAAACTTTCGACGGTCCGCGCGGATTTCTTGGATCTGCGCTGGACCCTCCCGGCGGCCTTCCGCCGGCCTCCGCGCCGAGGAAGCGGTACCAACTCCTTCGGCCCTCGAGGGCGAGGCCCTTTCTTGCATGCCTCCTGACCAAGCATCCAGCGTCTCGACTTTTTCGAGGCACGGGCCCCCGACCTCTCGACAAGAACGTCCCCGGCACCCGCTCTTCCTCCCGAGTCCTTTCTATAGACGGCCTCGAGGCCCCGTAGGGGCCCCCAGAGGCCGAAATAGGAAAAGACTTCGTCCCGAATGGTAAAGTCGCCGGGTGTCTGCGCAGGACCTAGCTCGCCGCTTCCGGCCGCGCGAGGCACGACTCGCGCCTGCCTCCGCGCCCTCGCGCCCCCTGTGGGTGACCTGGGAGACTCAGTGGGCGGCGGCGGCGGCGTCCACGACGACGACGACGACGACGACCACGACCACGACCACGACCACGAAGGCGGCGGCGGCGACGACGTGGACGTCAACAGAGGCGACGACGACGACGATGGCGGCGACGACGACAACGACGACAGCGACGACGACGACGACGACGACGACGACGACGACGACGACGACGACGACGACGGAGGCGGCGGGCGGCGGCGGCGGCGGCGGCGGCGGCGGTGACGACGACGACGACGACGACGACGACCACGGCAGGGGGCGCGGGGGGAAGGCCTGCTGCGCCGCCCACCGGCACAGGCGCGGCGCCGAGCCCCCGACCAGGGCGCCCATCTGCGCGAGCTGCGACGATGGCGACGGCGAGGCGGCGGTGGCAGCGAAGGCGACGGCGACGGCGGCGGCGGCGACGGCCACGACGACGGCGACGGCGGCGGCGACAACGACGACGACGACCACGGCGGCCAAGATCGCGACCACCACTACCATGACGGGGCCCAACAGAACACACCACCACCGCCTCCCTGCCCCCCTCCCTCCCCCAGGAAAGAGGAGAGGACGACGAGGCTGGAGGAGGGGAGCAGGGATGAAGGTGGTGGTGGTGTACACTCCTGACGCCCGCACACGACGACCACCGCCACGACGGCCACGACCACGACCATGACCCAGGCGCCGAGCGAGTGCGGCCGGCGACCTGCTTGCTGATCGCCTCTGGGATGCGGCGGAGGGCCGGCGGGAGCAGCGCGTGGAGCTCTGGTGGCAGCCCGTACCTCGGAGCGCACCCCCCGCCCCACATACCCCTTCGGCTTCCACATCCATTGGGCTTCCCTAGCGAGAGGGCGAGTGCGGAGCGCGAGACGAGGACAACGACGACGGCGCCACCACCCGCGGCTTTCGGACTCCGCGTGCGCTGGCAGCCCGTTATCCGAATAACGCAACATCGGCACATGAACCACATTCTGCACACGAGACTGCCTGCTGCAGTCCAGAAGCAGCTACAGGATCACCATGACTTGCTGACAAACTGACAACTGGCACCTGTCGTCAAGGTCGTCGCCCACACCTTACCTCAGAGGCGCCAGGCTGCATGGAGCGTTCTTGCCTGCTATTCCGACAACAGACACCTTGTCGATGTATCCCTCTTGACCTAGTTACTCAACAATGGCTTGGTGACCCCAGATAGGTTGACTCTGCTTGGAAGAAAGGTTGGGACTCGTATGGCCTGCCCTCCTGATGTCCAGACTCCCCGAGTGGCGTCATTTTGTTCAGGATTGGGCAAAGCCCCAACCATTTCGAGATCAGCACATGGTTCTGGCAAGACACTGGTGGGTTTCGACGAGGCCTTCAGGAGTAGCCACGTCACCGACAAAACTCAGACACCCCACCGAAGCTCTGCAAAGACTCGCAAAATCTGAACCCCCAGACCACCGACCAGTTGCTGTTTTTGTCTGGTCGACAGCCCCTGGACCTCTCGACCCCTTCCTCGGGGCCAACTCCTCACCCAAAACTTCTGTTTGACGGTGAAAGGGCCAGAAATGGCCCCTGGATGCAGAACATGCCGGGGGCAAATCCCAACTCGGCGTTCCTAGTCGCCATAGGTCTGCTTGGGCTGGGGCCCTGTCGAAGTCAGATCACGAAAACTGCAGCAACATCAGCCTCCGAGTCCCGCGCGTGATCACGAACAGGTGGACGCACGACGCGAGAAACGCCAAGGGCTTGATGGGCAGCCTCCTGTTCGACTGATTGGCAGATTTGATGCAGTGATTCAATGGACGGCTCCTAATGCGGATGCGGCGACGGGGATGCTGGGCAGATACGGCCGCATGGGAGAAATCATGGTGGCCATTGCTGCAAAGCCGCACCAGGGCGCCCATGTGTACCCGTGACGCGGCGCAGTCGATACAGTCGCCTGCATCCACACCCTCACGTACTTCATCAGGAGCGAGTGCGTTCAACGTCCTCGTCATCGTTATCCTCCTCCTTATCATCATCACCATCATCCTAGTCATCATTGTTCTTGTTATCCTCCTCACAATTACCCTCACCATGATAACCATCAAACATATCATAATCATCATAAGCATCATCATCATCGTCACCAAAACCATCACCATCAGCAACATCAGCATCATCAGCAGCATCATCAGCATCATCATCATCGCCATCACCACCACCACCATCGTCATCATCATCAGCATTGTAAGTGTCCTTATCACCGTCTCCACAATCATCATCACATTAATCATCGTAATCATCATCCGCATCATCATAACCATCCAAATCGCCCTCACCCTCACTCTCACCCTCACCACCATCATCAGGGTCAGCATCAGCATCAACATCATCATCATCATCGTCATCATCACCATCACCATCAGCATCAGCAACAGCATCATCAGCAGCATCAGGATCAGCATCAGCAGCATCACCAACATTACCAGCAGCAGCACCATCATAATCGGCATCAGCATCATCATCAACATCAGCATCATCAGCGTCACCATTATCATAATCATCATCACGTTCACCTTCACCATCATCATCACCACCATCATCGTCATCCGCAGTTTCACCGTCATCCTTATCACTATTCTCAACATCATCATCGTCATCATTATGATCATCGTCACCTTCGTCATCATCACATTCATTGTCATCCTCATCAGTATCACAATCATCAACCCCATCATCATAAGCAGCCTAATCTCATCGTCATCCTCATCATCATGACCATCAGTATCACCATCACCAGCACCATCATAAATACCATCACCATCACAATCATCAACATCAACATCATCATCATCATCATCAGTATCAACATCATCCTCACCACGACAGCCGTCATCATCATCAGCATCAGTACCAGCATCATCATCATCATCAGCATCATCATCATCGTCATCATCACCATCTCCAACATCACCATCATCACAATCACCATCAACATCACAGCGTCACCATCACCACAATCACCACCATTGTCACCATAATCATCATCATCATCATCATCATCATCATCATCATCATCATCGTCATCATCGGAATCACGATCACTATCCTCATCAGCAGCAGCAACATAATCAGCATTAGCATCAACATCTGCATCAGCATCATCATCACCATCATGACGGTCATCATAGCATCATCATCAGCATCACCATCAGCATCACCATCCTAATCACCATCAGCATCCTCATCCTCATCATCATCATCATCATCACGATCACCGTCACCAACACCATCATGCGCATCATCATCATTATCATCATCTGCGTCAGCATCAGCATCGCCATCATCATCACAGACAGCAACACCATCATCACAATAATCATCCTCAGCGTCTCCTTCAGCAGCATCATCAGCATCAGCATCATCAGCATCAGCATCAGCATCATCATCGCCACCATCATCATAATCGTCAACTTCACCACCACCACCAAAACCACCATCATCGTCATCATCATCATCACGTTCACCTTCACCATCTTCATCATCATCATCATCATCATCATACTCATCTCCTTCACCATCACCATCACCATCACCATGACCATCATCATCATCATCATCGCCATCAGCATCACCATCACCACCACCATCATCATCACCATCAGCATCATCATCATCACCATCACCAGCACCATCACAATAACCATCACCATCAGAATCATCATCATGAGAATCAGCATCATCATCTTCACCATCATCATTAGCATCAGCATCATCAGAATCATCATCGGCATCATCGTCATCATCGTCATCACCACCATCACGATCAGCATAACCATCACCATCACCATCATCATCATTATCATCGCCATCATCATCAGCATCATGATGATGATGATGATCATCATCATCATCATCGTCATCATCATCACCACCACTACAAACACCACCACCACCACCATCATCATCATCAGCATGATCAGCATCAGCATCAGCATCAGCATCAGCATCAGCATCATCATCATCATCATCATCATCATCATCTTCATCATCATCATCATCACCACCATCATCATCATCAGCAGCATCAGCATCAGCATCAGCATCAGCATCAGCATCAGCATCAGCATCAGCATCAGTATCATCATCATCACCATCATCACCATCACCATCACCATCACCATCACCATCACCATCACCATCCCCATCACCATCACCATCATCATCATCATCATCATCATCATCATCATCATCATCATCATCATCATCATCATCATCATCATCATCATCATCATCATCATCATCATCATCATAATTTCTCGGTCTCTCGCAGGCTGTGGCCAAAACAATCCACGTCCAGGGCACCCGACAAACACGAGCCTGGCCACAAGTCTGTGTTATGCTGACCCATGAATACAACACAGCGGGAGCACAAGGCTCGGCACAGGGGGCTACCCCCCCGCCCCCCACACCGAAAGCCCTCCCAAGAGAGACGCGGGCCGAAGTTTTGCAAAGGGACCCCACCGTCGTGCTCGAGGCAACGTGTACGGCCTGCCTGTAGAAAGTCGCCAACCCCTACGGGTCCACTCGGCGTGTGAGACCGCTGCCCCTGCCCAACCTGGAGGCCTCCTAGATTCGGGGACGCGCAAACATGGAATCGCGATCCACGGATTTGGCGCGCGGGCACCTTCCCCAAAGTGCGGTCGGTGCCGCCTCGTTCGGCGGCGGACATCCGCGATTTCCCATGGAAACGGGACCCGTCGCCAATCCACGCCACCTTTATCCATGTTTGCGATCGCCTGAAACAAGAAGCCTCATAGATGGGATCCGAACCCATCTCAGTCGGACCCCACCTGGGAGGCCTAGACAAACCCCTCCCCCGGGAGCCCGGTCCGGCCAGTTTGGAGGGAAGGGGTGGGGTCCGCGCAGAAGGGCTGGGCCCTTGTCTTAGGTCGGGCATGTCCCCCTACATTTTCGACGAAAATCGAAAAGATTCCAAACAAAATTGTCACACAACTACTCGAAGAATCGTCCACCTACGATTTTTGAACTATTTTTCATCGTTTCCTCCTGTGGAGGGACTGGCCCGACTTGAGCCTCAGCCCTGCCAGACATGCTCCAGGCTTTTGAAAAGCCTGGAGCATGTCTGGCTGTAAAGTTTTCTCATATGAGAAAAGTTTTTGGGATGTCTGGCTGCCATGGATTCACTTCACAGCCATATGAGAAAAGTTTTCTCATATGGCTGTGAAGTGAATCTACGAGGTGCCCCGGCGCCTCAGCGCGGCCTCCACGAGGCCCCCAGCAGCGCCAAGACGCAGCAGTGTGAACATGGCCTCGAGACAGACACGGAGGCCTCGGAAGACGCCTCCAGAGGGCTCGTCGCCAGGGCCCTGCGCAGGCCAAAGTCGTCCCATACCCTTCCTGGGAAACGTTCACTTTCAGAGTCTTCGCCTTCTTCGTCTTCACGGCGTTCACGACGGCCCCAGAGGCCTCCAAGATCACCCCACGACGCCCCAAGCGCCCCCTCTAGAGCCTTAAGACAGCTCCAGACAGCCCCAGGCCGGCCAAGGAGGCGGCCTGGACGGCCAAGGAGGACCCCAAAAGGGGCCTCGGAGGGGCCCCGCGACAACCCAGGATGGCCCCAAGACGCCCCAGAGGCGCCCGAGATGGCCAGAGGCGCCCAAGACGGCCCAGGACGGACCAAGAGGCTCCCAAAACTGCCTTCAAGAGAGGGGGGGCGGACAAGCTAGGTGCGGTCGCGTCATATCTGACGTCCTACCCCTCCCTCCCATCCCTTACCATGGCGTAGATCTCCTCTCTATTCGCACAGTCGGATGGTGTCGCAGCATGGCATAGCATTACATGGCACAGCATGCTGATGAAGATCAACGCGTAGCATGACATAGCGTGGCGTGGCGACGCTCCAAAAGGGGGACTTCTGCAGTCCAAAAATCAACGAACCGACACCGAATCTGTAATCACGTCCGATGGTCTTTTCGGGGTGGGCCATTTTCTAGATTTTTGGGCCTATTTGGAAGGACAGAAAACCATACCGTGGCATGGCACTGGAAACAATGACGCCAACGCTGCAGCGGGAGCACGATTCGGAACGAGCGGAAGCGCGAAAATGAGGCCAGCGCTGCAGCATGAGCACGATTCGGAACGAGCGGAAGCGCGGAAATAAGGCCAGCGCTGCAGCAGGTGCACGATTCGGAACGAGAAGAAGCCCGAAGATGAGGCCAGCGCCTCAGCGGGAGCAGCATTTAAAACAAAAAACGAAGTCCAGTTCCCAAAAATCCGGTGTAAGAAAACAGTACGCGGAGGGGGGGCGAATCTCTTCCGGACGACGTCTTCAGGAGAGATAGGAGAGTAGTATTCATAGTAAGTAATTGTCAAGAGGTGACAGGCCCTTCGCAAGCGCAAAAGGGCAATAGTTGACGCTCCCAAAACGTCACCAAGACGCCTGCTCCTCCTCCTCCTCTCCCGCCTCCCCGTCTTCCTCTTTTGCCTCCTCTTGTTCCCCTTCCTGCCCCTCCTCCTCCTCATCCTCCTCCCCCTCTTCCTGGCAATGGCTGGCGGCGGGACACTTTGGATGACTCCCGATCTGGGAATCATGGACCCCCGAGGGGCCAGCGGTGCGGCATGCGCCATATTTCTTCTCAACCGCCCCCTCCGAAATCAGGACCCTGCAGGAATCTCCGAGAGCAACGACGACGAGGACACGACGACGACGCCGACGACAGCAGCGGTGGCGACGGACGAGGACGAGGACGAGGACGAGGACGAGGACGAGGACGAGGACGAGGACGAGGACGAGGACGACGACGACGACGACGACGACGACGACGACGACGACGACGACGACGACGACGACGACGACGACGACGACGACGACGACGACGACGACGACGACGACGACGACGACGACGACGACGACGACGACGACGACGACGACGACGACGACGACGACGACGACGACGACGACGACGACGACGACGACCCCCCGCAGTC